ATATATATATATACCGGGGGACGCTGGATACTTGAATAGTATCCAGCGTCCCCCGGTAAAAGGCATATCTTCCTTGAGGTACGTAATGCCAGTTGCTTGATACACTGTAGATTTTATATTATACACAAATGCGTAAATGCGTATATATATACTATAAATACTATGCATATACACAGTATATATGCACAGATAATACATATACATCGATATGCCCACAGACAGTAATACCTCGGTAAAAGGCATATCTTCTTGGCGGTAAGTGATGCCAATTGTTCCTTTTTGTCCGTGTCGACTTGCAAATTTATCTCCCGTTTGCGGTATACGTACACTGCGAACTTTGACCTTTACAAAACGAGACCCTTTAGAGTTCACGCTCAACATCACCGTATCTACAACTCCTGCACATAAAAAGCAAAAATAAAGAAATAACAAGAATAAAAGCCATACAAAACGTAACCACTGGGGAGATAACAATAAAAGCCAACAACAATCACAATACTTAGGACGAATGACACAATAACAATAAGACCATTAATACGGATAACGGAAAAATGAAATGAGTAACAACAATACTAATGCGAAAAAAACAAGGCAAGTAACAATACTACCAATAATAGCTACTACTCTTAAAAGCTAAGCTGATGCTGCTAACTAGTGACTGCATGCAGGGGCATCCGTATGCAAGCATGCACGCAAGCATGCACGTATGCATGCATTCATGCATGCACAAGTGCGTATCAAAAGGAAAACAACAGAAGCAAGAAACGGAAATGCATAAAGTGGCGAACAAAGCCAGGAAACAAAAGCCACTACACGAGAGAGGAGCCTGTTACTAAAAGAGATATAAAAGACAGAGTGACAAATCGTTTGTAGGGAAAACAACACGAAGATTGAGGAAAATCTTCATGAAGCATACACCAGCTCACGTGGGAAGCAAACCCAATCACAGTGCATTTGTATTCCACAAAATATACATACACTTTATAAAATATATCAAATATATGCATATATGCATAGATGTATGTTGATATGTTTGTACTGTATGCTATATGCTTGACTATATCGTGTCTTGCAGTATGTTACATATAATAGTATATCCATACCACACATTCAATTCACATAAACACGACAAATTTTAAAGATAATGCACTTTAATACGCAAAAGCCATAAACATTTAGGATATGTATACAATATATGGGTACACTGAGAGACAGTACGTCTCTCCTCAGCGTAGCACAGCACAACAATACAAATACCGCCAGCTAACACAAATGTGCTCCAAATGCAATTAAACAATCAAACAAACACACACCGCTCTCAGATGATCGTAAACACAGAGAGCAGTCCTTCTTCGTCTTAGACAAATATGCCTCAGCCCCAGGAGGAGCCAGCGGGTCGTTGTCATCGAAATTCGGTGAAGTCTGCAGGAAAGAGAAGCAACAAAATAAATAAGCAGTTTATATTCATTATATATTACATATACTTACTGGCAAGATACTCCAAGTGAATTAACCACAAATAAATAGATATCTGTCCTACGTTTATTATATCCTCAAAGTATCATGGCATACACGCTAGGATATGCTTCGTATGGCGCACAATATGTTTGCAAAATCTGACTAAGATCATATGTATATATATATATATAATATTTCTGTGAATAGGGTTATACATGGACAGATATTTGTGTATATATATATGTATATGTATGCATTGTGTACATATGTGTATGAATGTGTAAACATGATTTGCTTTATAGGGCACATTTAACCATATTCCTGTAATCTCATGCATGTTTATACCCACATGCATTTATACGCATATACCTATCTATATAGAAACAAATAAATACATGCATATATATGCAATATGTGTAAATATGTTTGAAGTATACGGCTTATCTCCTCAGCTAGAGAACAAAGGGAAGGTTTTGAACTTCAGCGTTGACGCACTTTCCCAACGATGACATCATCTCCTAGCACTCTGGACCCCGGTTCAACAAGTCCATCTGTATCGAGTTTGGAGTAGTCGCCTCTTTTCATTCCGGAGGTTGTTTCTGGGTTTGGCTGTTCGAAGCCCTCAACCACAAGAGAGCCTTGCTGTTTTTCTTCTGCGCAGTAGGTGCGGCAGAAGAGGCTTCTGAAGAGGCCCCTGTCGATGCTGTTGCGGTTCATAATCAAGGAATCCTCTTGATTATACCCAGAGTAACATAAAATAGCGACGATCGTGTTGATGCCAGCAGGCAATTCGCGAAACTTGAGGTGTTCCATCGCACGTGTACACACAAGAGGCTTTTGTGGATAGTACAACAAATGCGCTAGGGTGTCTAGACGCAAGTTGAAATTCGTTGTATACACCCCCATCGCCTGCTTGCCCATTGCACTTTGATAAACATTACGGGGAGACTGATTGTGGTCTGGAAATGGAATTATAGATGCGCAGACACCCAATATCAGAGAAGGGTGAATCTCGCAGTGCGTGTAAGGGATGGTCCTGAAATAAAAAGAAGAAAAAAATATATAGCAAAACGGAATAAAAATGGGCACGGAGTGAAACACAAGCAAACACAGAGAAGAGAAAAATGATGGACAGAAACAAAATCAACAGGAGGAACAGACTAAGACACCGACACACACACAAACACAGCCAGATGAAATTCGATTTTGCTATGCAAGCAAAGGCAGGATTGGCGTCCATCTTTCTAAATGTTTAGAAACAGAATGTCAAGAAAGGGAAGATAAACAAAGATTGAAAGCAAGAAACAACCCTTAACCCGTCATAAAGGCTTGCGTATAAATCCAAGTAAAACAAAGAGAGCACATAAAAACAAGCCGAGGCATCCATGTATAGACGAAGATGCACGAAATGCACCGTTTTAAAGCCAACGGCGTTTCTCTACACATTTGCCTTCGAGGAAGTGCAATTAACGAACATCGGATTAAGGACAAATATGTTCAGAAGACGACGCAGAACATACCGAATTACACGATATAGTTACTAAAACAACTCCATTATAAGTACAAGAAGACGCAAGCCAGATTTAACTGAGGCGATGATGAAATGATCATAACCTGTAGGTTGAATACATACAACTTCATTCACTTCAAATGAATAAATATTTATAATTAGTACTACTATTCAATAACATATAAATCCTCTTCTTGCATGCAAGATAGGATCTTTCTTACTTTCCCTTCTCAACCAGATCCTTGTGGAACATCGCCACCATGGATGTTTCTTCTTCCTCGCAATCAATATATTCAATAACACCGCTGGCCATCAGGTGGTTCCAACCTGCTCCTTTTTCTGACGTTCCCGCCATTAGTCGCACTTTATCAACATCTCCTTTTCTTATTCGCAGCTCCCCTGTCTCCTGGAAAGGACGAATAAACAGAAAAGCAACAGAGAGAAATTCACGCACTTGAACGCATGAACAAATACCCGCAAATGCCGTTCAAATACACAAAAGGGAACACGTAAATCCAATGTAAATCACTAAAACATAATAATGATAAATTTATGCGCAACCATACACAAAGCATAAAGCATTACTTCTACACAAACAAACAGCAGATTAAAACAACAAATTCCGCGGTAACATCAACTTTGGCTCTGGCGATGTATACGAAGGAATGAGCAATAAAATGCATGTATAAATGACTTAATTTATTGTTATTTCCCCGAAGAAGACAATTACTATTTGTGTATTTCTCCATTTAATTAAATGGTTAATTAGTTCGTTTACTTATTTAGATTATTCAGACAAAAGCAACGCCAAACGTGCGCACCGAAAACCTAATGCCCCACGGCCTATCTAAATACGCACATACCATGTATAGTAATAATAGAATAATCCTACAGTAACTACATACGCTAAGCACAAATATATATATATATATTAAAGATGTAATAAACAAATTGCAGCTCACACTGTCAACGACGTAGAGAGGCCTCATGGCCCGACCTGCATCCGTAAATATCTTCACCTCCTGCAGATCAAGCGACAAGCAACAGACGCCAATTTATACATACAAATATACATATACATATATATAGTTATACAGGATTATCTACATTACATTCCTTTTAAACTACATACAACATATATACAGAAAGCGTGTACACGGAAAGGCTTGACATGAAACCCTAAACCCTAAACCGTAAACCCGAAACACGTACACGATTGATGATGTCTCTAACGATGGAGGTATCGTTTCGGATGTGTCCTTTCCTTCGGATTTCTTTTAAAGTGTTGCACAAGGTTTCTGCTTCATCGAAGCAGCCGGCCCAATCCCCATTTATAAACACTTTGCATCTGTCTTTAATGCTCTCAGGAGAGATCTCATCCAACCCATCTAATCCCCAGTCCTGCACCAGAAGGCGCATGCAGCAGCGCAGCAAGAGGTTAAAATTCGTGTGCGTATGGTGCGCAAACGACTCAATAAAGGAATAAGGAATACCAACAAACGATGCACGAAACACACCATCAGCGAACGAACGAATTCAATGCAAATATCATCGTAGAAAATGACAGTGCTCCTCCATACTACAGACACCAAGACAATATTTACGTACATATGAATATAAATGCATATATATATATATACATGCAAGCATGCACGTATATGCATATCATGCATTAATACATACACATATATACATGTACGTATGTGCATAAATCTACATGTAAGTATACATATAAATATACGCATAATATATTATATACATGCACTTAGCTGATTGAACAATCGTAGAAGACTGGAGAATGTGAGTATAAAGGTACATTCCCACCCCGATCGCATCCCCCCAAAAATAAACACAAGCAGCAACAGAAAGAAGAAACTTAGTACGAGAAAAAGAAGGAAAACGCATTATTTCAACATAGGCATTGGGCTGACTTCAAGGAAATCTCTGATGTTTTTCGTTGGCGCTCCGACAGATATTTTAGCCATCAGAGCCAAATTTTTCACAAGTCCCACTGCCTGGCCTTCGGGTGTCTCTGCAGGGCAGATCATTCCCCAGTGCGTATTATGGAGTTGTCTGGGTTTCGCCATCTTTCCTTCTCTTCCTAGAGGCGTATTGAGTCGGCGTAAGTGCGAGAGAGCAGAAGAGAACGTTAGACGATTCAACACCTGAGATACCCCGGTCCGCACAACTTTTCCTTCTCTATCGCGACCCCAGTTACCTGTAGCAAGTTGATACTGAAGGCCCTGTGTAATAGGGCTAGCGCTTCTTACAGCACCCGCTACATCGAAAGTTTTTCCATGATCTATTTGGCGTTGCAAGATGCGCGTGACATCTTTGACAAGTTTTCTGAATAATGAACCGAAAGAAGCAGCCATTAAAGGGCCGCTTAAATCGAGCCTTTTCTTCCCAAAGTGGTCGCGATCATCTTGGTTGATTCTCCCCAACTCCGCAAGTAACAAACGATGAACCATATAACCAACGAAATACGCTTTCTTTCCTTCGCAACCCGCCTCCGTACCAACATGGGGCAGCACTTCTTTTCGTAATAACTCCCGTGCATATTGCAAGCGGCTCTCTCGCTGCGCACCCACTGTAGGACCACGCTTTCCTATATAATCTAAACACGCCTCCTGACTATGGAATTCAAATCCTTCTTCCAAAGAAGGCTTCAATAAGGCACACAACTGCTCGTCCCGTGTGTCGTACGCAACCCGCAATAATATGTCCAAGTCGCTCACACAGCTGCAACAAACGAACAAAAAACAAAAGAATTAAGATATTAAAATGTTAAAATATTAATAAATCAATATAAAAAGGATACTGTAGATGGGCAAACGAGAAAGAGAAGAATATCATGAAAAAAACCTAACATGCATACAATGCGAAATCATTTCGTAATAGACACCGCATGCAGAGCACCAGCTCAACCATCAGATTTTAAGAATACATAAATAGAAAGGCAAAGCCAGCAATTCATAGAAAGCCCGAAGACAAACAAAAGTGAGAAATTCACGGCGAAGTGCTGCACCAGCACCAGCAGCCCCACAACCACCGCCGACGGCAGCAGCAGAAACAGCACCAACACCAGCAGCAACTGTAGCACCAACAGCAGAACCAAAAACAACACCAGCAGCAACAACACCAACAAAAGCAGTACCAACGGCTGATCACTATGGACATCTGCCTCACCCCAGCGCTCTGAATAGAATTGCAATGGGTATATCTGTGCGAATGTACGGGAGTGCAGCGACCAACTGGCCCGCCCCCTTTCCCCTTCCTGTTTCTCCTGTCATTGTTCTCTTTTTTATTGCAAAGCCACTCGTCGCCTGATTCCCCTGCATCTGACTCCTCACCTGCAGTAAACGACGTGTACGTACATTCCAAGCGGCGAGGAGAGTTTACAACTAATTGGGGGAAAATACGTAAATTCATTAACAAAATGATTCAAGAGAGACAAGCAAACAGCAACAAGTACACCCACAAACTAACAGACGGAGAACCTCCGCGACAGCAAAGAAACAAACGAAAAACCAAAACAAGAGAGTAGTGGCACACAGCTTAAAAGCTCTCATTTCATAACGCAAAATAAGCAAATACCCATAAAACAGATACAAAAGCAAGCCCCAAACAAGCAGCTGCTCGTGCAGGCATGCGTGCAAGTGCATGCACGCAGGACAATGCATGCGTGCAGTAGTAGCTGGCAAGCAAGTTGACTGCTTGCAATTGAATGCATGAAAGTGGATACAGGCAAGTAGATGCATGCAAGTGGATGCATGCAAGTGGATCCAGGCAAGTAGATACATGCACGTAGATGCATGCAAATGGATGCAAGTGGGTGCATGCAAATGGACGCATGCACAAAGGGAAGTTTCAATTGCAACATACTTCTGCTACCCAGGAGAATTTTGACGGCTGAGCCTTCTTAAAGACGTAAACGAAGTTCGACGCCATTCGCTCTTGGGCTACCAACACCTGCAAATAAAAAAACAGAAAAAAGGAAAATTGAGGGAATATTACGCAAAACACAGAGGGCACAGGCTGCCTGTAGCGTACAGACTCATCGCATGCGCAAAATGAGAAGAACGAAGAAAGAAGAACAGAAGAAAAGAAAGGAGGAGAGGAACAAGCGGAAAAAAGCGAAGCAGAAAAATAAGCAGAAGAACAAGAAGAACAAAACGAACAAGAGGAAAAAGAACAAAAAGGAGAACAAGAACAAGAAACAACAAAAAAACGAAGAAAAGAAGGAGCAAAACGAACAAAAAGCACAAGAAGAGGAACAACCGGAAGAACAATGAAAACAAGAGGAGGGGAAAGAACCACAAGAATCAAAATAATAAGAAGAACAAGAACAGTAAGCAGAAAACTAAGGAAAAGAAGAACGAGAAGAAAAAGAAGGAAAGGAAGGAGAGGAGAACAAAGAAGAAAGCGAAGGAAAAGATAAAGAAGAACAAGAAGAACAAGAAGAAAACCAAGGAAAAGAAGAAAAAGAGGAAAACGAAGCAAAGGAAGAAAGAGAAAAAGAAGCAAGCAAGTACCGACTTGCACATTGGCCTACATATATATGCATACATGCATATAATATATATATCCTTCAGCAAAATATAAAGAAAAGCGACTAAAGATGAATGAATAAACGAACGAGATGATTAATTAACTAATGAATTGAATATTTCTGTACCTTCTCGCTTCCATTGATAATAAAATACCCTCCTTGATCGTAGCTACACTCCCCTACATCAGGCAGCTGTTCTGCAGATATGTCGTGGGTCCAACAATAAAAAGATTTTAACATTATTGGCAAACGACCCAAACAGACGCGTTCGTAAGAATGACGCTCCTCCACTATCTGTATACACCGCACACATATACACATACATATATGTGTAAATATATATATATATATATATATTATAGTTGTTTGTTTACACTCTGTATACATATATATGGGAATATTATTATCTATACGGATACTATTATATGAATAGATGTACAAATGCATACATTCATATACTAATATATATACAATTAAGGATGGTACAGCCGCAACAACTAGAGCAGCAGCACCAACACCACTACCAGCAGCAGCAGCACTACAGCAGCTGCTGCTAGAGCAACAACTCTAGCAGCAGAAACAGCCCTAGCAGCACCTTCACGCCAAGGCCATGCATGCAAATATTATATTTATATATATATTTATTTGTGTAAGAGTGATATACTTCTTCATTTGTAAGGGGGTCGATCTTATAAGTTGTTTGTTCGATGGAGACGAAGAGAGAACTACTATAAGTTAAGTTGCGAGTCCTGGACTCCTGAGGCCAGAGATTCTTTTGCATGCCTTCTTTCTCTTGTGCTGCCGGTCTGTTCAAAGATAATTGGCTAAACTTTAGACGATATCGTACGTCCAACTCTACGTCTTCTTCAGGCCGGTACTGAGGTGAAGGCCTGAACAAAAACATATATAAGCACACACGCATATATATATATATATATACATATGCATATATATATATGTATATATATATATATATATGTATAGATGCATGTATTTATGTATGTCAGACTAGATGTATATATATATATATATATATATACATCTAGCAGCAGCAAATAGCATATTCAGAAGGCCCTATGCACCATGAAAAAGGCAAAAAATGGAAAAGGAGATTAAAACAATTATTAAAAGTGTATGATGTACTGCAGGCAGCAAACAAATAACAATAATAGAAAACGACAGACGCCAAGAAATCGAAAATAAGAAATAATGCACACTGAACAATAAACATAAACAAAGACCAGTCAACAATGCACAATAAACAACAAACAATAAACAATAAACAATAAAAAATAAACGATAAGCAATAAACAATAATAAATAACAAATAAAAAACAATAAACAATAAGCAACAGTTGAACGTAAATTCTAAACGATAAGCAATAAATAATAAACGCAAATAATAGTATAGATAATAATAATAAAATAATAGTCAATAAACTATGGACAACAAACAATGAACAGTACACAGCAAACAAGGGGCTGTGGACAGCAACAGAAGGAGGTGTCTCTGTACACTTCAAAAGAAATAAATTTGCTGCTCTCTACCACAAGGACGGTGCCTTTGTTCTGCTGCTACAATTAAATTATAATTACTCTCTATTCAAGCACAAAGGGAAGCAAAAACAAAAAGCGTAGGATCGGCACCGCTTCAGGTGTACAGGCAGCTAAAAGGAGCCGTTCTCAGGTGTACAGGCAGGTATAACGAGCCGCTTTTCAGGTGTACAGGCAGTTAGGAGGAGCTGCTTTTCGGGTGTACACGCGGATAAAAAGAGCTGTTCCTCAGGTGTACAGACAGTGCAAGAGGGCTAACCTGATTTCAATGGGGGGATGGGCATCAATAATTTCTTGGAGTTTATAACTGGCGAAATCATTAAAACTCTCTACCTGTTGAGACACCAGACCTTTGCCTTCAAAGAAGGCCCCCACAACGGCCCAAGTATCTTCTAAGTCGATCTCCTGCTGCTGGTCGCCCTGCTGCTCCTGCTGCTGCTGCTGCTGCTGCTGCTGCAGGTCAGAGCCACCGTAGCCTACACCGATAGGCGAAGCGGAATCTGAAGCCAAGCCATACTCTCCTGCAACTTGAGATGAATAGCTCTCCATCTTGACTCTATAAACAAAAGAAACAATAAAATAAGTGTTGATGCTGCTGCTGCTGCTGCTGCTGCTGCGTTTGGTGCTGCTGCTGCTGCTGCGTCTGTTGCTGGTGCTGATGCTGGTGCTGCTGGCGCTCCAGAAGAAGACGGTCCCCTGCACCTAGTCGAGCGAATGATGCTGCAGCAGCAGCTGCAGCAGCAGCAGCTGCAGCAGCTGCTTGAGGTTGCGCCTCAGCAGGAGGAGTAGCTGCTGCTTGCCGCCGTTCACCCTATGGTTGCTGCAGCTGCAGCATTCAGTTTGACATTCTCCAACTTTGTTGTTTTAAGGGAAGCAGCTTGCGTGCAAGTACAGAGCAAAACAGATGCATTAAAGCAGAGAAAGCCAGCGAAATATACCGGTAGACGAGAGATTGTAATAAAAATAAGTTTCTGCTGTCCTTCTCGAGTTATTAAGCTGGGTTGGGGCCTCTATTCATCTTTACTCCAGAATGATGTTTATAAAATCTTCTCCCTTTCCAAAACCAACAATTCGGTCTCAATGGCAGCAGCAACAACCGCTGCTCGCAGCTTCATTTAAACTGCTGCATGCATACATGCATAGGATGCATGCAAGGGACGGATTGCTGCTGCTAAATAACAGCGTTGACTGCTTCTCCAACTGCAAGCAGGGGAGGGCAGAACGAAAAGTGTGAAAACCTTAATTTAATGAAAATGCAAACAGAAACAAACAAAGAATCAGTATGGGGGCATGCAGCTTCCTCGCTGCGCCGCTGCATGCAGCCCGACTCTGTATACACCCCAGCCCTGAGGTGTACAGACTAATTGCAGTGAAAACAGGAAATCTATGCCAATTGTTACTTATTGTTTTGTTTTTATTGATAATATAGCGAAATGGCTTTATAAAATGCCCTTTGGGGAAGGAAGCGGCTTACGGTCGGCAGCAGCTCTGCTCAGGTGTCTCGACAGCTCGGTATGCGAATGCAAAAATCTGCATCTACAAGTGGAAACCTGTTGGTAATTTCTCTTATTTTTCGTATTTGATGGATTTTGCTTAAATATTAATTCATATTTCACCCTCACATTCGCCCCACAAAACCTCATTCTTTCTTTTCCCCTTGTTTCCCACGTCTTTTTCTCCGTCGATGGATCTTCTTTCAGATAAACTGCGCCGCAGTTTGAAGGTTTCTTTGACCATTTAAGTCGGCATCCTCCATATTCTTCAATACATTCATTGAATTGTTTTGTCCTTTCTTTTCTGGCCACGCCTTCTCTAGGCTTGTCGGTCTGTCCGCTTCAGCTGTTTCAGCTTCCGCTCTTGCTGTTGCTGCTGCTGCTGCAGCTGCTGCAGTTGTTCCAATATCAGCTTAAGTTGCTGCTGCTGCAGGAGGCTCAAGGATGTACAAAGGAGAGGCGGTTTCTCCTTGTGGCTTTCGTGCTGACGGGCGGTTAGTGCACGAAAGCCGTCAGCTGCACTGCCGCACTTCTGTGCCTCCTGCTGCAGCAAGTGCTGCTGCTGCAGTTGCTGTTTCACCTGACGGAGCATCTATAGCCACTGCAGGAGCTTCCGGGTGTCTCACCAGCTGCGATGGCAGAGCGGTGGTTTCGTTGGGGTGTACGAAAGTCATGGCTCTGGTGTATGGACCGCAGCCTGCAAGCGGCAACAGCAGCAGCAACAACAGCAGCGGCGGCAGCAGCAATTGCTGGAGCGTAAACTCAACAGAACACACTTCTGCTGCTATGCAAATGATGCATGAAGGACGACAAGGACAGGGAAGAGGAGAGCTTGCTGCTCCAGTAACTGTTGTATGCTCTGTGGGGCTTGCTGGCAGCTGCATGCGCTCTAGGAGTATGTACACCCCCGATGCAGCAGAGATTGCAGCGGCTGTACGTACAGCAGCAGAAGGCATCATCTTGAGGCGTCTGTACACACAAACGCGCATTACTATTTCAATCCTTGTACTCGCTGATGACGGCAGTAAGGAGAAAGAAGGCAGAAACCCTTTCTACTCAGCTGTACATACACCTCAGTTGAGGGGGTTGCAGCACCAGACAACCAACGCACATAAACATACATTTAGTTTCCGCTACGCTGCCCCGTGCATGCGGTAGCTGTTGCTGCTGCTGCTGTTGCTGCTGCTGCAGGCGTACTGTCAGCATCCCTTATTGCTGCTTCTCTCGCACTTGCTGATGCAGGTAGGTTTTGTTTCCTTTGCTGTAAATATATTAATGCTTTTATTGTTTGTTTTTGTTTGTTATTGTTTCTGTACGCTGCCTATACACCCCAAACACTGCAATAATAATGCTGCATGCAACAGGTGGCTGTACGTACACCTAAAGCCTCTCTGCTGCTGAACTTATGTATTTACTGCTGCTGCAGGAGTCGGTATGCGGGACCTGCTGCCTGCATGCACTGTGCTGCTGCTGCCGCAGCACCAGCAGCAGGAGGAAGACGAGCCGCTGCTGCTGCTCGATCCAACTAGTGAAGAAACCCGTACAGGGGGCCCCTGTCTAACTGTAGCAGTAACAGCTCAAACAAATAATGTGCGTAGTAGTAATAAATGTATAAATTAAGATAATTAATGTAAATAAATTCCCTAGTTAATTTGTCAGTTATATATTCAATAAATACATCATTCATTTCACACGTCTAGCCCGCCAGCTCTTGGCCATGCTGCCGCTACTCTTGCCCTGCTGCTGCTGCTGCTGTTGTTGTTGCTGTTGCTGCTGCTGTGGTGCGGTTGCTGCTGCTGCCGCTGCTGTTGCTGTGCTGATGAAGGGCGAGATTATGTGGCAAGTAAAGTGTATAAATATATACACATATGAATATATGTGCATTGTACATATTTATATGTTTGGA